TTTCCGCGTGCGAGACACGTGCGTCCATGTGTGGTGGATGTCTAGGCCGCTTTCTGAAACGCCAAACGCCAACCGCAGCCGCGTAAAGAAATAAACACGGTAATATAAACTCCGGAAACAAAACCATAAACAAAAACACCACAACAAAAACCGTCGACCAAACCGGTTTAGTCCAACCTCTCATAACTTCAACCAATTTCGCAACCGCGACCAAACCCGAAATCACGTTTACTAGGCGGAAAAAATTAGCTTTGCTCCTTCTCATACTCCAAACATGGAAATCGTGATCAAACATATATTCCACAACCTCACGGCCTAAAGGCGGCTCAGCTCTACTTAGCCTTGCAGCAACCGCGTTTAGCGTCTGATACCGCAAACGCTCTAGCATATGAACGCCTAACGGCTGAGTATAATGCATCTTAGGAAGCAGCGGTAAAGTATACATCTGAAGCATATTAACAGAGTTACCACACGATAACCTAACTGCTAAGTGAAGCTCACCGGTTTTCTTCACACCAGTAGCGTGCAACACAATCAACGGATACGAATGCGTGTAAACTCGTTCTGTCTCTAGCGTAGACAGCCTAATCCTAACCTTACCAATCCGCGCATCAAGCGAGTTGTTATTGTTCCCGTCTATACGTGCGTTATCAAAAACACCTATAGTTACAACCGTGCAGGGGTCGTATACTTCCCAAGTATACTGCTCGTTCCACTTAGGACAAAGACTGTCCACAAAAGTTCTTGTTCTGATCCATTTAGGCCCGTACTTAGCCACGCAGTACGAGTCCGCGGTTCCACCGCTTTTCCCAGCCCTAACTTTCATCGGCATCAGGCCCGTTGCACCAAGAATCCCAATCTCTAAAAGCCCAACTTGCGGTTTCCAAAGCTCTTTCGCTGTAGGTCTAACATCGCTGCTATACATTGTCGCCTCATCCAAAACATGGTAGCCACCGTCTAGCGACAATCGAAGATGGATCCTTGAACCAAACCGATTGTTGATGTTGTTTTTACCGTTCTCTAAGCAAAACCATCTCGAACCAAGCAGCTGATCCCCTGTTCGTCTCTCAACAGCCGCAACAGGAATCTGAACCCTACCAACACCAACGTCGTTTTGTCCTCCCATTGCACCACCTGAAACACGATCCTCTACAATAACAGTAATGTAATCCTCAAACGGCTCTGCAACCACAAACATCAAATCCTCATTCCAATAAGGATTTGAAAAGCTCCGGGTAGGGTTTGCAGGGGAGATAGCGGTCCGCAGAATCTGATTCCCGACTTGTAGCTTAGCGGAGAGCTCGGGAAACCTCATGAGACCTGATCCTTTGTCCATGATAGAAACGTCTTGAGCCTCGATCACGGAAACCCTAAGGTACCATAGCTTAGGAGACAAGTAAACCTTTGATTTGATCGACGACAAACTTTCAGTGTGCACATTTCCAGCTTTTGAATGCCATGCCTCAGCGAAAGCCTCGTCAGCTTGAGTCCCAAACCACACGGAAACCATAAGCTCTCCTCCACCTCTACTGCTGTTTCTACTCTCTATTTTGTACCACTGTGGAGCTAACTGACTATCAGGAGGAACCCGGGTTGGTATTTCGCTTATATCAAACCAGATCCGACCCGAGTACTCGTCTTTGTTACCTTCTTTGACGAAAATCTCAACTACTGACGATTGAATGGTTTCTTTAGAAAAGGCAAAAACTTGATTCCACTCAGGATTATTCGAATTCAAGCTCACCTTTTTAGTAACTCCCCTGTAATTACCCAATTTCACTTCTGACACCACTTCGCCGGATACTGATAAGTCTTTAGCTTTCACGATTCTTATGTAAAGGTACTGCATTTGCTCAACTAGATCGTAAGTTGAGCTTGTTTTGTCCTTGTGACTACTCGAACCGCCAACACCACCACTACTTCCTCCAAGACGAGGCTTTGTCTCCTTAAGCGAAAACTCACTCGACCCGTTTGAGTAAACGAAGGGTCCGGGTCCGGGTCCAGGTATGGGTCCAGGCATCGGACCGGGAAGAGCGGTTATCACGAGTGGCTTTATCTCACTTTGGTTCGGATAGAACGGAAGCATCCTTTGTCCTTGACCATTATGCTGTTGACTTCCTCTGTTGTGATTGTGAAGAGCTATCTGTAGCTGTTGTTGCTGTTGCTGTTGAATCGCCATGGAAGAGCTCAAGTTCTGAACTTTCTTGCTCTTCTTTGACCCACCCGACCCGTTAACCCGATAGAGATTCTCACCCTTCTCCGCCATTGTGGTGACGTAGTGTTTCACGCTGATTTCACCTCGCACGTGCGAGAAGAGGCTTCTCTTTTCAAGCGTGTACAGCTGAACCACTGATTCTCCTTCTCTTCCAACGCTAGACCCCAAAACCCTGACTTTACCCAAAAAGTTTCTGCTGTTAGAGGAACGCTTCTCGTTGAAAACACTGATTTCCAGGGTTTTGTAGCGGAGGTCGTTGACGTCGATGACGTGGAAGACGAGCTTCTCGTTCCAGATTGGGTTAAGGTCTTTGGTCTTGACCTGAGTTCGGAGACGCTGGTTCTCGAACTCGACTTCCACGAATGGAGATGAAGATCCTTCGCCGTCTTTTGGCATGAGATTGTGGGCACCCACGATCTCCACCACAAGCTTCTCGTTGCCGTTGCCGGCTTTAGCATCAATCATGACGGGTTTAGGCTTAGCAAAGTAGAGATTACAATGGGGAAAAGGGAAAAATGAGAAAGTAGAGATGGAGATAAACTTGAAAGAGACAGAGATTGATAGCACAAGGCAAGTGAAAGGACAGTAGAGTGTAGAGTAGAGAGAGAGCGCGTGTCTGAAGATGCAGAGATTAACAAGAGAGAGCGTGCCAAGGAAGAGAATCTGGATTTTGTGTTTTTTTTTTTCCTTATTAAACTGATTTTTTCAAATTTCAGATATTTATCGGTTAGAATAAACTTTCTGGCAAGGTATTGAATGTGTTTCCTTTGTAGTTTGATTAAAATATGACTTCACGTTCGCTAGAAAAAAAAAAAATTTTAAAACGACAGCTTTTTGTATCTATATGATAGAACAGAGAACATAAAGGAAGGGAACTTAGGGGAAAGGGACAGAACAGCCTCGAGGTTCACGCATAGTGGTCGCGCGTGGATTAACGACGTCTCTGACCAATGACAATGCTCTGCTCTGCCTCTTATCGTATACTTTTTGCCTTCCTCCTGATCCAGTAGGACCCGTTTTCGCCAATTTTTGTTTAATTAACATTTACTCTCTTGTGAGGAAATAAATTCAGAAATGAATGTGGGTTTCACGCGCCGAGATTAACGAGTGGGAGATGACGGAAAAATAAGAGGTTCGCTGAATCCTCGTGGCAGGTCAAACCTCAAAAGGTCTATGGAACAGCAATTTGTCTCAAAAGAGTATTTGTCAGAAGCATACGAAGTATAAAAAAACAGTGTGACAAATGAAATTAATAATAAATGCCTGTAATTAAATTTATATTATGGGAACTCTTAAAAAGCAAGAAGAACGTTAAGTATACAATGACAAACCTGCAAACTCAAGTCCTAACCTTTTCCATAATATAAATTCTTGCATGAAGTATTTGTCAAAAGAGTATTCGTCCTTTTTTTTTATTATTCTGCAGGCTTTTTGTGCATGCAAGAATTTATTGAAAAACAAAATCAAAACATGCAAGAACTACAAAAGTTCATCCTTGCTAATGGCTGCCACGTGGCGTTCACTTCATAGTCCTGGGAAATCCTATGCCTTGTGACTCTTTATCACAACTCAAGAAATTCAAAATACATACTAATTTGTCTGTCCATAAGTTTTATTTTTCTGCTCATTACCATCCGTGAAGTACCACATGATTTCTACCTTTTATTTTCTATCCCGTTGAACTATACGTACAAAATATTTTCTAGGTTTTCTCGGTCGCCGTATTTCGTCAAGGTCAAACCGATAAGATAATGAGGTTTCAGACTTTTATGCCAAAATGATTACACCGTATATATGGATCTCGTGTTTTAACCTATCTAACTATACAAAACTTAATTTATACAGACCGTGATCCGCGACAATGACAAGTGACAACGTTGTCGCGAACGATTAATCAGAGTCCACGAACGATTAAAGATAGTCCATCTAAACCACTAAGGTCGAAAGTTTGCAATCGTTGAATTAAACGTCAAAATGATCCGTTCGGTGGCTGCTTAAACAACAAGAAGAAGAACGGAAGTTCTCACTTTCTTGTATCACAAAATATATGTAGTAACTTCCCTATTTTTTTACAAAGTCAGTGATCTTACTTAATTAATGGATTTTAGAGAGAGTAATAATATTGGGTTAATTAAGCTAAAGCCTAAAGGCCTTTAACACTTTTAATTACATTAATGTTAAAGCCCAATATCTTGTGGCAAAAGCCCTATAATGATACGGGTTCATTAAAACGGGCCCAACTTCTACAATAAACCCGTATACAATTACGACAGTACAGTATATGCTTTTTAGTGCTATTCACTACTCGGGATGTTTGAATGTTTCCATATTTAATGCTACAGTATATATCTGAATGTTTCCATATTTTCCTAACTTTTCATCTAACGTGTATATGTACGTGCTACATGCTAGATGCTACATGCAATGATAAGATCATAAGAATCTGGATATCAAATCTTTTTTAATTTTTTTAAAATAGTATATTAAGAACATTTGAGCACTATATGTATCAAGAATCAATCAGCATGGGTTAATACATAAAAAACCGTTATATGAGTTGTATAAAGACAAAATTAAAAAAGAAGTAGATAATGGATTTTGTAAGAAAGCAGACAGAATTAGTTTTTCCGCGTCCGAAATACTAGCTCGTAATATCAAAGAAAATTCAGGGGTGGTTTGGGGAAAATGATGTCTTAATTCAACGTCTAGTTATAATGCTGTCATTTTATAATTAAAGTAAAATTTTCTCCAGACAAATCCCAAAGGTGGGGGAGGTAAGGGGAGAGGGAAGCACGAAAGAAAGGCAAACGAAAAATTAGAGAACAAAAATAATATTCAAATCAGAAAATTTTCGACATTACAAAATCATAAACGCGTCTCGATTTTGCTATTCCTATTTTTTTTCCTCTGGGAATCGAATCTCGGACATTCTCGCAACCATTTCGCATTCGCATTGACGGTGCATTGTCGGTGTTTGGAGGCTTTAGTTACAAAAAGTTCAATGTTGCTTTGATCACAACTAGATCCAGAGAAAGCAAGAACATTGAGTTTCTAATTCGTGAAACATAATGGTAAAGGTTTCATGGGTTTTTGGATGCTTTTTTTCTTCTGTGTTGATTGCCATTTTTTTCCTTCGTTGTATTTATGATGAAGAACGATAAAGAAGGGTTTATGTTTTGCTTTATTTGCCCGCGTATTGTCGTTTGATTAATCTGAGTTTTGACTTATAGCAACCGATGAAATTTGAGTTTAGCTATTGTGAAGTTTTCAATCTTTGAAATGCTCTTTTGTGCTGTTTCTTTGAGTAATATCATTTCGTTCGTAACAGAGTCAATGTTACGACAGAGAGATTCGAAATCGATTCGGACACTCTTGTCAGAGTTTGGTGCTTAACTTCTTTGATTCTCCATTAGCTACTAGTGGTTACAAAAATGCGTTCAATGTGTAGGCGCATTGATGCGGTTTCTGGTCACATTGAAGCAGCAATTCTAAATGCGCTTTGAAGCTATTTGAAAGTTGGTTGATTGTATTTACGACACACTGCAATTAATAATACTTGTTCATCGGATTTAGTATGGCCAAAAAGACTCTTTGTCACTGTTGTTAAGTTCTGGTTTTAAAATGTTTAAATCAGAAGTGTCCTTCAGTTCTTTGTTTACATTTCGGGAGATACTATACCCTTTTAACACCCGTTGTATCTGCAGGTTGCTACCTTCAATCCTGCTGTTGGGTCGCGTGTGTGGGTGGAGGACCCCGATGAAGCATGGCTAGATGGTGAAGTTGTAGAGGTTAATGGTGAACAGATCAAAGTTCTCTGCACTTCAGGAAAACAAGTATGTTCATGACATCTGTTTTACTTATAGGGCTATTCAGATGTTCATATTATTATTCATAATAGATATTACTCTACAATGCATGTGTGCTTGGCTTTGGAAGCATGAAAATCTATAATGATTGTTTTCTTCTTTTCTTGTTGGAAACACAGGTTGTTGTTAAAGCTTCGAATATTTATCCAAAAGATGTCGAAGCGCCAGCATCTGGGGTGGAGGATATGACAAGGCTGGCTTATTTACATGAGCCTGGAGTCCTTCAGAATTTGCAATCAAGATATGATATAAATGAGATATATGTGAGTAATTCATAGAGATTGATAGGCCATTGCATATCCTTGTTATTTACTCTTTGCTATTAGTCTGAACCCAGTTTACTTTCAGACATACACGGGAAGCATACTGATTGCTGTTAACCCGTTTAGAAGACTACCACATCTCTATAGTAGCCACATGATGGCTCAATATAAAGGTGCCTCCCTCGGTGAGCTGAGTCCGCATCCTTTTGCCGTTGCCGATGCGGCATATAGGTAGTTTAGCATATACTCTTCGAACAATGTTTTCCTTTTTGTTGTTAGTTTTATGCCAATTGCAGATTTTCTTGGTTTATTCTATTGCAGACAGATGATTAATGAAGGAGTAAGCCAATCTATCCTGGTTAGCGGTGAAAGTGGCGCTGGTAAAACTGAAAGCACAAAGTTGCTTATGAGATATCTTGCTTACATGGGAGGGAGAGCTGCTGCCGAGGGAAGGAGTGTTGAGCAGAAAGTTTTGGAGGTGAAAAGATAGTTGTGGATGTTTTTATGTTTTGGTATATATAGAGAATTGTCAGGTTTTGGTCTTATCTGTTATCAGGTGATTTTGAATTAGAATCTGGAGTAAATAAGTACACCAAACCTTAGAAAAGTGATTCTAGTAGGCTATATTAAATGTTCAGCTTCCTTTGAATTCATGGTAGTCTTTCCTGGTTTTTTGTTTTTTTGTTTTGGTGTGTGTGTGCTATGATCTGTTTCTTATTGCTTCTTATATTTATGTTTCATACAGTCAAATCCTGTTTTGGAAGCATTTGGAAATGCAAAAACTGTTAGGAACAATAATTCCAGGTAATGAGGTTTTGTTATACGCTGCTTCGCATTCTTTCAATTCTATTCAAGTTTGTATTTTTTATGTGAAAGGTTCTAAATTCTCTATTTGTGTATCGTATAGTCGATTTGGTAAGTTCGTGGAGATTCAGTTTGACCAATCAGGGAGGATATCTGGAGCTGCTATAAGAACTTATTTGTTGGAAAGATCGCGTGTTTGCCAGGTCTCTGACCCCGAAAGAAACTATCATTGTTTCTACATGCTTTGTGCTGCACCAGAAGAAGTAAGTTTCATCTCAAAAATTAAATTTTGAAATAATCAGTGAAGTAACTGCTGATTCACGGCGTATTATCGTACATGTCAGGATGTTAAGAGGTTCAAGCTTGGTGATCCAAAGACATACCACTATCTCAATCAATCTAAGTGTCTTGCATTGGATGGTCTGAATGATGCGGAGGAATATCATGCAACAAGAAAGGCTATGGATGTCGTCGGGATTAGTTCTGAAGAGCAGGTAAATCCATCAGTTGAATTTAGCTAAACTTGCAATATTATCTTTATCACCAACTTCATAACTTTTTCGGTATGTCTCCAGGATGCAATTTTCCGTGTCGTGGCTTCCATTCTGCATCTGGGGAATATTGAATTTGCTAAAGGAACAGAGATTGATTCATCAATCCCCAGAGATGAAAAGTCTTGGTTTCATTTGAGAACCGCCGCTGAGCTTCTCAAGTAAATGGCTCGACTCATAGACTGAAGTGGGTTGCTTCTGTATGTGACAAAAGTTGGTTTCCTTATTCACATAATCTTTTCTTTTATTTGCAGGTGTGATGAAAAGTCACTTGAGGATTCTCTATGCAAGCGTATCATGGTAACCCGTGATGAAACCATCTCAAAAACTCTCGATCCAGAAGCCGCTACTCTTAGCAGAGATGCTTTGGCCAAAATCATGTACTCAAGGTTGTTTGACTGGTGAGTTTCTCTGTTCTTTCTAGATGAAGATATTCTCAGTAGCTACATGCCTACATCTCTTCATCTGAAGTAGTAAGTTTGAATTGTATTTCAACACAACTGTACAATACTTATTATTTTTCTTTCTATGCAGGCTCGTTGAGAAGATTAATAGTTCAATTGGTCAAGATCCTGACTCGAAGTACTTAATCGGTGTTCTTGATATTTATGGATTCGAGAGCTTCAAGACAAACAGGTGCTTAGCCGGTATGCCTGTTGTTTTCAATTGAATAGATGAGTTTCTTTACAAAAAAAGTCTAGAAAAACGGGAAACTCTGATAGTTTGACTTAACATACGGAATTTTTAATTTGTTTCATGTGGTTGTTTTTACATAATGTTTTATATTCGTCTGATCAACTTCATCCCCAGAGCAATGCTTTTTCAAACGTGGACGGTTGAGAATATTCTATATTTCCTATTTTTGTTTGAGCTTGTGAGCTTACCCAGTTAAATGTTATTAGTGAAACAGTAATGTTATACATATGCATCTGATTAAACTTATCAGTAGGAAAAGTACTTCTCTGTTTGGCTGTCCAAGGATTCATGACCACGTTGGGTTCTTGTTTGTCATTGTTCTATGGCCCATTGCTTACCGTTTCTAGTATTTTTGCAGTTTTGAGCAATTTTGCATCAATTTGACTAATGAGAAACTTCAGCAGCACTTTAATCAGGTTTTGATCAAAGAAGCTCTTCCATTCTGATCTTCATTTTAGACCTTGTATTTCTGCCATAGTTTTTTCTAACTGGTGTAACGTCGCACTATGCAGCATGTCTTTAAAATGGAGCAAGAAGAGTATAAGAAGGAGGAGATCAATTGGAGCTATATCGAGTTTGTAGACAATCAAGATATTTTGGACCTAATAGAAAAGGTTTCATGTGGATAATTTATAAGTTTCTTTATGCATGGCAACTAACATGTTGCTTCTTTGTGATAGCTATCTTTCTTGTTATGTCACTGATATATTATGTTTTAACTCTCATTTCATTAGTTGTTCATTCTTGTTGTTTGTTTTTGTTTACCTTCAGAAACCCGGAGGTATAATTGCTCTTCTAGATGAAGCTTGGTGAGTTTGAAACTCAATCTTATATGCTAATCCATTCTTTAGCTCAGCTTTCGGATTACTTCTCTAATCTGATTCTGTTTTTTTTTTTTTTTTTTTTTTTCAATGTGGCTGAAGTGAGTGTTTCGTTTTGCAGCATGTTTCCTAGATCAACACACGAGACATTTGCTAATAAGCTATACCAGACATACAAAAACCACAAGCGTTTTACCAAGCCGAAATTGGCTCGCAGCGACTTCACAATTTGTCATTATGCTGGTGATGTGAGCATCTTTTGCTTGTCCGCTGCGTTCATAGTTTCACAAGATTGTGAAAATATATATAAGAAAGTCAGTAATTGGTTTGTAAATATCTCGTTTAACAACCATGAGGGTATTGTTACAGGTCACCTATCAGACAGAATTTTTCCTAGACAAGAACAAGGATTATGTTATTGCTGAGCATCAAGCGTTGTTAAATGCTTCTACATGTTCCTTTGTTGCAAATTTGTTTCCACCGTTATCTGACGATTCCAAACAATCAAAATTCTCCTCTATCGGTACCCGTTTCAAGGTGAGTCTGGTTCTGGTCTCCACTGTTTTAATCTGTTTTATTTTTCTTGAAGTTACAGATTCCATGTTTGTGCTTCTTTGCAGCAACAATTGGTTTCATTGCTTGAGATTCTTAATACAACGGAGCCACATTATATCCGATGTATAAAGCCTAATAATCTCCTGAAGCCTGGAATCTTTGAGAACCAAAATGTTCTACAGCAACTACGTTGCGGGGTAGGAATGACATCCAGTTTCAGTTAAATAACCAAGCTTCTCGTTACAATTATCATTTCCGGGATAAATGATTTTTTGGGTGTTCTTCTGACCTCAGGGAGTGATGGAGGCAATCCGGATTAGCTGTGCTGGTTATCCTACTAGGAAGCACTTTGACGAGTTCTTGAACAGATTTGGTATCCTTGCTCCACAAGTGTTGTACAAGAAGTAAGATGTCTCTTCCTCTCCGGATATTCCTTCTACGCAAGGTTAATATCAATGACTTATCTTACTGACTCCTTGTTTATATTAGTTCTGACGAACCAGCTGCTTGCAAGAAACTACTTGATAAGGCGGGACTTGACGGATATCAGGTAATTTCTTTGACCACCAAAATATTATCTGTCAGTTTCAGGCTGCTTATAAGATGAGTTACCTGAGAGTTGAAGGGATTTCTTTTGTAGATTGGTAAGTCCAAAGTTTTTCTTAGGGCCGGACAAATGGCAGACTTGGATACTCGAAGAACTGAAATCCTGGGAAGATCGGCGAGCATTATCCAAAGAAAAGTACGATCATATCTTGCACAGAAAACTTTTATCCAACTACGTAGTTCTTCTACACAGATCCAGGCAGTTTGCAGAGGTATTTAATAACCTGCTGAATCATTTGTAGAATTCTGCCTGCTAGACTGTAGACTGGCTTCTTCATGTTCGTCTTTGTTTTCTTAACTTATATCTAAAACTAACATGCAAACATATGCGTCACTATTTTTCAGGTTATCTTGCTAGAATTATATACGAAAGCATGCGGAGGGAAGCTGCTGCTTTGAAAATCCAGAGAGACTTGCGTATGTTTCTGGCTAGGAAAGCTTACACTGAGATGTTTTCTGCTACTGTTTCAATTCAAGCGGGTATGCGTGGTATGGTTTCTCGAAAAGAACTGTGTTTCAGAAGACAGACTAAAGCTGCAACAATAATCCAGGTATGATGTTTTTAAACTACTGAAGTATGTTGCTATCAAATTTGAATGCTCATGAAAGACTACTATACATTAGAAAACCCTTCAATAAGAATGGGAATAGTGATTTTTCTCTGTGTGGCAATTCTAATCGATACCGCCCATTTTACATTACAGAGCCGGTGTCGTGTATACTTGGCTCGGCTGCATTACAGAAAACTAAAGAAAGCAGCCATCACAACACAATGTGCATGGAGAGGAAAAGTTGCACGTAAAGAACTCAAAAACCTTAAGATGGTGAGATGTGGTTTCTTTCTTTGCTTAGATTTGCTTCTTTTGTCAAATGAACTATTTTCCGAAGTTGACTTCTTAAGGTATTGTTTGCACGGAAACCAATATAATTTCTACATATTCATGTTACACACAGGCTGCTCGAGAAACAGGAGCTCTCCAAGAAGCCAAAAACAAGCTAGAGAAGCAAGTTGAGGAACTCACATGGAGATTGCAGTTGGAAAAACGAATGAGGGTGAGCTCTTCTAGAAAAAGTTCTCATCAAATAAACCTCTGATTTCTTGCATTTAATTGAGATTGCTAAGAGTATCCTCTCTTCATTCTAAACGCTGCAGACTGACCTGGAAGAGGCCAAGAAACAAGAAAATGCGAAGTATGAGTCTTCTTTAGAGGAAATTCAGAATAAATTCAAAGAAACTGAGGCGTTGCTTATTAAAGAGCGTGAAGCTGCCAAGAAAGTTTCTGAGGTGCTCCCTATTATTAAGGAGGTTCCTGTAGTTGACCAGGAACTAATGGAGAAACTCACAAATGAAAATGAAAAGCTGAAGGTGTGTCTCAATTCTGGATCTGTCAGCTTACGGTGGTTAACTGGATACCACAAAAAATCCGCAATAATACTATCTAGAGAACCATCGACCAAATGAAATCTCTACTACTAACTGTTGACCTCCTCTATATTGCTTGTCTTATGCAGGGGATGGTGAGTTCTCTGGAAATAAAGATAGATGAAACAGCAAAAGAACTTCAGGAGACAACCAGGATTAGCCAGGATAGACTAAAGCAAGCACTGGAGGCAGAATCTAAAGTAGTGAAGTTGAAGAGTGCAATGCAGAGGTACCGTTTGCAAGAATCTAACAGTTAGTAATGTATATTTCTCTTTTTCAAACAATTAGCTGATCTTTTATTTGCAGGCTTGAAGAGAAGATTTCAGACATGGAAGCTGAGAAACAAATTATGCGTCAGCAGACCATCTTAAACACTCCTGCGAAAACTGTTTCTGGGCATCCACCAACTGTAACTGTTAAAGTAAAATGTTTTCTCTGATCCTCTAATATATGCTCTTTTCGGCTACCTTCTACTTTGCTTGATGTTAATTTTTTTCTTTTTTTGCTAATCCCTGTTTGCAGAATCTGGAAAATGGCCACCGTACAAACTTGGAAAACCAATTCAATGTAGGGTATTTCGTCCAAACAGCTTTCTTGATCTCTAAGGTTTCTCAATTCTTTGTCTTTGCATATTCATTCATATGAGAAGCTACTTTTCCAGGAAACTGAGCTCGCTGGAAATGCTGGGAGATCTACTACAGAACGTCAACTTGTACTGGCCAATTACTTTAACACTCTATATACACTATTTAATGAGTAGCTCTGATACCCTGATGTTTTTCTGCCGCTGCAGGAGAATGTTGATACTCTTATTGACTGTGTTAAGGACAAAATCGGTTTCAGTAATGGGAAACCTATTGCTGCATTTACAATATACAAGTGTCTTCTTCATTGGAAATGCTTTGAATCTGAGAAGACTAGCGCGTTTGATCGTCTTATTGAGATGATTGGTTCCGCGATTGAGGTAAATTGAAATGCATTTATTGGGATTATGAAGATAGCTGATGTCCCAACATGAGGATTATTGAGTGTGTCTTAAAAATTTGTACACTGGCTCTGTCATTTACTAATCCTGGACTTGCATTCAGATTTGAAACTTTTTCTATAATGTCGTATGGTCACTTATATCCTTTCTTTCCTACACTGATCATAGTACAAGTCTTATAAATTGGAAGTTTTAACTGTCAACTGGATTACTAATTTTTTTTTTTTCTTTTCAGAATGAAGATGACAATGTTCATTTGGCGTATTGGTTAACAAACACATCGGCACTACTATTTTTACTTCAAAAAAGTCTTAAAACTGGTGGCACCGGAGCAACGGCAAGCAAGAAGCCACCCATCACAACTTCCTTGTTTGGAAGGATGGCCTTGGTATTTTAACTTCTGTGTTAGTTAGTACGGCTTTTTGACTGATCTTTTACTTTTCATGTTAAGACTGTTAACTATCCTTTTCCATATTGTTTAACCAGAGCTTCCGCTCGTCACCAAACCTTGCCGCCGCGGCTGAAGCTGCTGCTCTTGCGGTGATCCGCCCAGTGGAGGCAAAGTACCCGGCGCTGCTTTTCAAGCAACAGCTTGCAGCATATGTGGAGAAAATATTTGGGATGATTAGGGATAACTTGAAGAAAGAGCTCTCAGCTTTAATTTCTCTGTGCATTCAGGTTTCATTGACTTCTCTAGTCGCAGCTATATTCTAATATTGTCCCATCTTTACGTTGTATCCTGATGCTGTGACCACTTGCTTGCTGCTTTACACTTTAATGAATAATTGTGTTTTACTATTTTAACAAGTTTTTTTGTTCTGTCCAAACGATGAACTTCAGGCGCCGAGAATTTCAAAAGGAGGGATGCAAAGATCTGGTAGGTCGCTTGGAAAAGACTCCCCTGCTATTCACTGGCAGAGCATTATTGATGGTCTCAATTCGCTTCTTGCCATATTGAAAGAAAATTATGTAAGGAAATAGTAAAACCTACATGACATTGTTCTGTTTTCAACTCCTCAAATTCTCATATCTTTCATGGTGTACAGGTTCCTTTGGTACTCATCCAGAAGATACACACTCAAACTTTCTCGTTCATCAATGTGCAACTGTTTAACAGGTAGATAATACTTGAAAACTACATCTAATGGTTTTTACGCACTTTATCAGTTGGGAACTTTCTATCTAATTTATCACTTGAATTGTTAGTAAACTAAACCAAGTGACTGTTTTTACTGCCTAATTTCCTTATAGAAGCTAGACCATGGTCAAAAAGACATCTTACTCGGTTTTTTCCTTAACATCTTATAGCCTACTCCTGCGTAAAGAGTGCTGTACATTTAGCAATGGAGAGTTTGTAAAGGCTGGGCTTGCAGAGCTAGAGTTGTGGTGCGGCCAAGTGAATGAAGTAAATTCCCTCACGTATTCCTTACGAAAGAAACTTTCTTTCTTTTGGCTCATTTCATCATTTAGTTTCATTCTTTGATTTTACAGTATGCTGGTCCATCTTGGGATGAACTGAAACACATCAGACAAGCTGTTGGGTTCCTGGTGCGTTTTACTCTCCTTATAAATCAAAAGACGAATAAATGGAATCGAAAGATTGCGATTCACTGCTGTTTCCTCTAAAACCATACCAATAACTATCTTCACATCGTTACCCTGCAGGTTATCCACCAGAAGTACAGAGTATCATACGATGATATAGTACATGATCTTTGCCCGGTAAAAGCTCCTTTTTTAGCTCCTAGACACATGTTTTGAGGGATATTTTACCGGCTTAGACTCTTAATTCAAATCGCTTTCTTGATTCACTTTCCTTATTTGTTCAGATCCTCAGTGTCCAACAACTTTACCGGATATGCACATTATACTGGGACGACTGTTATAACACCCGAAGTGTGTCTCAAGAGGTACCTAGCTGAGAAAATATTAGCATCTTGGTATCAATTTCAACCCCTTTTTAGATCCTGAGCAAAGTATGAAACCTTCTCTCACAGGTAATATCGAGCATGCGTGCACTCATGACAGAGGAATCCAACGATGCAGACAGCAATTCCTTCTTATTGGATGATAATTCTAGGTAATATTCCTCTCTCGCTCGATATTCAAGGGAAATCATTCCCTGGTCCATGATTCTTGAATTGGTATGGATCAGAGCTGTTGGTTATAGTTTTCTAATAAATTTGGATATCTGCAAAAAAGATGGGATGGATAATGTAGTGTAGTCTCTGAGAATACAAGTAGAAACTATAACCGGATTCTCTTTATTTTGCGGCAGCATTCCCTTCTCAATCGACGAAATATCCAGTTCGATGCAAGAAAAAGACTTTGCAAGTGTCAAACCCGCGAAAGAGCTTCTTGAAAATCCAGACTTCGTTTTCTTGCACTAGTTTCTTGGGATTGAGAAGCTCGGATTCTAAAAGCTCTTCCTCTGTTTTTTTTTCAAGTCTGAGGTGGAGGGGTGCCTTCTTGAGCCAAAAGGAAAGAAGATGGGAACAAAGTGTAAATTTTCATTTGTTGCGGGTTTGTTTCTTACAAAACCTCTGTAATACTCACCAATTCATTCATTTATTATTTTTGACCCCATTTCAAAGTTTTCTCCTTTTTTTACCCAAGATTTATAAATGTTATAATTTTTGTTTAATTCACTGACCGCTCAGTTTTTAAGTCGACGACTCTGTATAATGAAATTCCTTTGTTGTTGTACGAAAATAAAATTAGTTGCACAGTTGGTCGGATGCGTTGAATCAATAGAACCGGTTACAATTATACCCAAAAAAAAAAGAACCGGAACCAACCGATGGGGGAAAAATAAATTAACTAACCGATTCGGTTATGGTATAACCTAACTTAAGAAAGGAAACCATATGAAAACCTGAGAAATCACACATCCTCGCGTTCTTTGGACTCTCTTCTCTTTATCGCCGCTAAAGCTTCGGCCTCCCGTGACGTCACAAGGTTCTCCGTTAGCCGTCGTCTACAGGTTTCTTCATCGATTGCAATCTCTTTTAGATATTTTCGGCTTCTCGAATATGTGATTAGGATTCTGGTCTCTTCGTTGAATGATTATATCCCTAGTTTCGCTTCTTAAATCTTGCTATTCGTAACGAGTAGTCAAACATATTCCTCTGATTTAGGGTCTTCGTTCGATTACCTAACTTCTTTCTCATGTGATACCTAGAAAATATTCGAACGCAATCTACTGATTACTGCTGGTGTTGAAGCAGGAGGAAGAAGCTTCAAATCTGTCATAATGTCTCGGAGCAAGGGTTTGGCTGAGCAAGACCTTAAGAAATTAGATGTAACTGTGCTTCATCCTTTGTCTCCTGAGGTCATTTCTCGTCAGGCAACTATTAATATAGGTAACCTTTGCATACATTACAGACCGCGTTTTAGTTTTCGTCTTCTCAAGCTGTTTTGGCCATTAAAGATTCTAGTGTTATATCTCAGGAACCATTGGGCATGTCGCTCACGGAAAGTCGACTGTTGTGAAAGCTATTTCTGGTGTGCAGGTAATTGACTCTGCCTTTTCCCCTGTTTTACTTTTCAGTGACCAAGAGTAATTTGAATCTGTGCTATATTTTTGTTACTTGATCGATTGGAGAGGATGCACTCACATATATCATTTGTATGATTTCCTGCTCTCTGCAGACTGTCCGTTTTAAGAATGAATTAGAGCGTAACATCACCATTAAGCTTGGATATGCAAATGCGAAGATTTACAAATGCGAGGATGAGAAATGCCCTAGACCAATGTGCTACAAGTGGGTTCTTGCCTGAGAAAAGTGTTTTTTTTTTTATTATTATAGATCTTCTAATATAAGGTTGTGCCTGAAAAATAACCACTTCTATGTTATTTTAGGGCATATGGAAGTGGTAAGGAAGACAACCCAAATTGTGATGTACCTGGATTTGAGAACTCCAAGATGAAACTATTAAGGCATGTGTCATTCGTGGATTGCCCGGTATGATGAGTTTTATGGTTCCCTTCATTCCTCTTAAAGCACTATTTTTCAAAGGATCTTATATTGTGTCAGTGATCTGTGCGTTGAAGTGTATCTTGAGGATGTTGATGTACTCCACCTGCATGCTTTTGGGTTGATGGAGAAGTATTAGATTTTTCCATCCTTGGCTTTGTCATTCTTGTTGTTGATGATCTTATTGTTCTATTCTTCAGGGACACGATATTCTCATGGCGACAATGCTTAACGGAGCAGCCATCATGGATGGTGCACTTCTTTTAATCGCTGCAAATGAGACCTGTCCGCAACCACAAACGTCTGAACATCTTGCTGCTGTTGAGATTATGCAACTTAAGCATATCATTATCCTCCAGAACAAGATTGACCTTATTCAAGAAAACGTTGCCATCAATCAGCACGAGGCAATTCAGAAATTCATAATGGTTTGGTTTTTATTATCTCTTGTTGCATTCTCATTTCATCTATTGGTTAAGCTAAGAATGTCACATTCTGTTGGCAGAACACTGTGGCTGATGGTGCTCCTATCGTACCCGTTTCAGCACAACTGAAATATAACATCGATGTTGTATGCGAGTATATTGTCAAGAAGATCCCAATCCCTAAGAGGAATTTTGTGTCACCACCAAATATGATAGTGATTCGGTCTTTTGATGTCAACAAACCTGGGTTTGAGGTTGATGAGATTAAAGGTGGAGTTGCAGGTGGAAGTATTCTTCGGGTATGTATCTATTTCTCTCTCTCTCTCTCTCTCTCTCTCTCTGATCTCTTGGGTACAACTTAATCCAGTGCGTTATCGGTTTTGCTAACAACATTTTTATCGTAGGGTGTTTTGAAAGTGAACCAATTAATTGAAATCCGACCTGGTATTGTTGTCAAAGACGAGCGTGGCAACCCAAAATGCACTCCAATCTACTCGCGCATAATTTCACTCTATGCGGAACAGAACGAGCTTCAGTTTGCTGTTCCTGGAGGTCTAATTGGAGTTGGAACAACAATGGATCCAACTCTTACTCGTGCGGATCGATTAGTTGGTCAAGTCCTTGGGGAAATCGGTTCTCTCCCTGATGTATTTGTTGAACTCGAGGTATAAACAACAACAACTCATGATTCAGAGTCCTTAAGTCCAAATGGGTCTTCTGTATTTTTCTCCTTTGGTAGATAGACAATTCGTTTTCTTATGTAAAAATCAATCTTTTAGGTGAACTTTTTTCTTCTACGGCGTCTGTTGGGAGTGAGAACAAAGGGATCAGAGAAACAAGGGAAAGTGTCAAAGCTAACAAAGGGAGAGATTCTGATGCTCAACATCGGTTCCATGTCCACTGGAGCCAAAGTTGTTGGAGTTAAGAACGATCTGGCTAAGTTGCAACTAACCGCTCCGGTTTGCACCAGCAAAGGAGAGAAAGTGGCTCTAAGCCGGCGTGTGGAAAAGCATTGGCGTTTGATTGGTTGGGGTCAGATTCAAGCTGGAACCACCACTGAAGTTCCTCCTTCACCGTTCTGAGAGGCGATGTCTTTTTTTTTTAGTTTTTTTTTTCTGGTTTCTGGAAAATTTTATCAACCCCTCAAAAGATAATAAAACTCTTCTATTTCACTGTGGGGGTTTTTGGAGAGTTCCTATTTGCCTGATAAATTTGTTACTAGCTTACTCTTGTTTGTGTTTATTAATTTTTTTGTCTCATGTTTTTTTATAATATTTTCTCTGTTTATTTATACTGGGAAATTCAGTATCATTGAACTTTTTCAGAAACGTTTTTTAAAAAATATATTTTATGTTTTCTAATAAAATTTCCAGTGTAAGAAGTGAGTAAAAAACTGTTTATTAACTAAATAAGATAATACATCTTCTTCCGGTTAAGTAACAATTTTTTGTACAAATTAAATAAAATTCGAGAGTGATCTAAGTTAAAGTGTTGAACTAGTATTAAGAAATGCTAATATAAATATATGTGTGTATGTATCGATTAGTATACATGCATAAATACATTTATCCACGTATAAGAAACAAGTTTGACTTTGTAGTTGAGGAATCCGAGCAGTGGTTAATTAAGGCAAAATTTATTATAGATCGATCACATGCAATCATGCATTACCCTAAACTTGCTAGCTACAATGTTTTTCTGATTACATTTAACAAAGTTGCAGAATATTGTTTAACAAAAAAAAAAGTTGCAGAATATTTTGTATATCTCTATATCTGATTATATATCTTTAGTAAAGTTATAGATGTTAGTTTATATATTTAGTTAATTTCTCCACCAATTCGAATTTACGTCTACTTTTTATTTTATAGTCTCATAATTTACGTCTACTTGATTCCATATTCTCGAACCTCGCTAACTTCCAAACAAATCGTTATGCTAATAATCATATAATTTTTTAATAATAGATGATAATAATAAATTCTAGTTCCATCACTAACTCATTTATATCCATTAACAAATTTTGTTAATAAAACTTCACCATTCAATCAAAAGCTATACAAAAGGTCATGTTTTGGCTAATTAATATAAGGTTTTTGAATATATAACTGTAATTCAAATATCTATAGTGTGTATACAGACATAACAAATCGCATCAAGATGATTGTCTACGCAAAATTAATGATTATTTGTAGATATTTTGGAATGCAGTCACAAGAGAAAAAAATTGGAATGGACAAACAATGAATTAATGAACTCTAACTAAACCTAATCTTATTCGATCAACAAAAAAAAACACTAACTAAACGTATTCTTGTTAACCTAATGAGAATATACAGATTCATGCACATGTCTATGTCATTTCCCCCATGAATAATTTTTTTTCATATTCTCTAATCTGATGTTAGTGGATTACATCCATGCATACATATATAATTGTGTGTAATTCCCAGGAATACTATATGTATCACAATTCACAAAGTTGTAGGATTTCTATGAGTTTCTAGAATCTAAGTTACGTAATGATATGTTTTATTATTATATATGCCTATTTTATTAGCATCTGTATTTTTATATGAAAGAAAGAAATAGTAACATTGCATTTGAGGAATGAGTGCCAAGTTAAATTTTAGTTCTCCAACCAAAGTCTTCGAATACTTTAGAGTATTTGACGGAAGTGACGATTTTTATTAATAACATCCACTAAATATTAATTAGTTGTAAAAGGATGCAATAAACTTCTAACTATTAATAAAATGATAAATGAGTATTAGAAAAAACTTCCAACTATTCTCTTTGGTGAAAACTTTTATCAAAATAAAAGAAAACTAACTATTCCCTTTGAAGATTTATAAAACTTGAAATTCCCTTTTTTTCAGAACTTAAATTACCTAAAAGGACAAAAAAACAAAAGAGAAACTATAAAAGGAGAATCGCAATAATAAAACTAGTTTTATATTTTAAGAAGTTGCAAATTGATTTGATGTGGTTAGGTCGTCGGCGGAGGGGTTTTAAAGTGGCCAAAATTGGACCCACTCTTGACTCATCATCATCTCCACGTGGTTGAGTATTTGTCAGCATGATGTGCCACGTGGATTTGTATGACCAATGATTGTATTAACTTGGAAGATATTAAATCAATTCTATTAGGTTAGTAATAATAATTAACCAGTGG